CCAGACATTTTAGCAGCTAAACCTGTAAGCCAAGATGCTTGGTCGCCAGCAAGGCCGGAGCTAACCAATGCGGCTACTGATGAGGCTTCATCTTGTCTCGAGGCAGCGCCTCTAGACAAGCCATGCGGCAGACGGCCAGTACTACTACAAGCGGGTCCTGAAGCAGTAGCCTTTGGTGTAGCAGTGGTACTGCTACTTCTGGATGCAGAGCTGAAGAGGCTGGAGGTCAGACAGCATGCGTGCAAGGACAATCCAACCTCTCGGACTGTGGCCCGGGAACCGAGCGAGAACCAATCGTTATTGCGTGACCAGGTAAGACACTGGTTTGGTGACCAGGCCTGAGCAGGGCAGAAAAAGAAAAGGGATATCAAATACACTTTTGCTAAAATACTAATACAAAAATGATGAAGAAAATCCTTCATGCTTGGAAGGCTCCTCATTACAGGGACAGGAATGTTCTTATCTATAAAGGCGTATTTATATCGTATAACCAATGATGTAAATTCCTGAAGTAGATTTAGCCTCTCGCATGTCCTATTTTATCTTATATGATGCATGTGGTGTAACTAATGTAGGTTTTATAGGATGTAGAATCTGAGCTGGGCAGAAAGCTTAACTAATGGCAATATCTGACAATTGACACTGCTAACGTTTTTCCTAGTAATGAACAAAGGGTAACTAATCATTCGCGGACCAGACTTTGATTTAGGCATAGAAATGCGATATGGCCAATTTCAGCCGAATTTGAGGCTTAGCAAAGGCACATGGTCGTTAGTCTAAGTGCACCACCGGGACAGATTTAGGTTAATTTAGCCGTATTAAGTCCAAATTAACTTGTGCTACAGCGTTCCTTAACATCTAATGGTCTTAATCCCAGAAAAGACGTCAAGAATGATGATCTTGGTCAATCTAATAGGTTTAATCAGTCTAATATGGCCAAGACTTTAAGCCTCGTATTCCTCATTGAAATCTGCCGTGCTTAAACAAGATCTGATCATAAGCACCTTACAATAAAACATGCTCCTGAAGCAGTTGCAGCAAAACCCCTTGGCAATCTTGCCTAGGATGCTTCAAGATTCAACTTCGACACTTTCATTTCAAATAGATAATCTAAGGTAAGGTGGATCGCGCTAAAAATTTTATTTTGCTACTTCTATTGAGGTCCAAAATTTTCTAAAATTTTCCACCGACATGTCCAAATGAAATAGCTGCAACATTCAGGTTATCTAGGTGAGTCTAAATTATTTGAAAATTGTTAAAGAACGAAAGAATAACATCTGCATTTGACACAAAAAGATTTTCACATACATCAAATTTATTTGTTAATATCTAGTCTGCTTTCAATGTTTAGTCAATGTGAACTTTTTCAAAAATAAGAAGATTACACCTTACTTAATCTAAGCACATTTTAGTGAACATTAAGAGTTATTATGGGATAATAGGGCAAAAGCTGCCTTTACCGTTTTCTATATTGTCCAAATAGCATGCAGCGGGACTATTATAATAAACGGTGATCAAATCTGATCTAATGCCTAAGAAAAATAAAGAGATGGATAAAGCGAGCCACCCAATACCTTACAAAATTTGACCTATTTAGTGTGAGGTTGGTTTAGTATTCCACTGATACGATTCATATTAGACCAGCGAATTTTAAAAAAAGCATGACGCTGAGAAGGCTGAAC